AACAAAGTAAGCAACTCAGAGGATGCTATAATCTCAAACATTTTGTCACTCGACTTTGATCCATGGGATGAAGCCTTGATTTCTCCCCACAATTTACCTCAGTTTCTTGGTGAAGTTGATCAGCGATCTAGTACTCTTAAACCTTCCAACCTCCTGAAGCAACATAACGGCCAGTCCAGATTTTCTTTTGCTCGGTATGAAGAATCTAGTAATCAAACATCTGGCAGTGAGAACCTATTTGGGCAGTTGCCGAGAGGTAAGCCTATTCAGGAGTCTGTAGCGAGCCGAGATATCTATCAGGATAATCTTGGGAGTCTTAATGGATTTGCTTCAAACTACTCTGGTGGATGGGAAAACTATGCTTCTAGTCCTTTATTCTCTTCGTACAAGAATCCTGGTTAGTGTTATATAGTGCATTCCTTTCCGTTTTGTTTCTTGGTTGGATCTTTTTTTTTCTGACTGTGGTCCTATTGCAGTTTCACGACCTCAAGTTTCTGCTCCTCCAGGATTTTCTGCTCCCAGTAGGTTACCTCCTCCTGGCTTCTCTTCACATGATAGAGTGGGCCAATCTGCAGATACTGCATCAGGTACTTCTTTTCTTCTATTTAGGGGTAACGCACTGGTTGATTCTATGGACTAAAGACTATTGTGCACTTGTTGTATCGTAGGAAGTCGTTTTCCTGACTCTACCTCCTTGTTGAGGAATGCTTATCAAGTACAGCCTCCAGTTGGTAATCCGAATGGTGCAAATGATTTGGAGTTTGTGGATCCTGCAATATTAGCTGTGGGAAGAGGGATGGTGAATGCAGACTTGGATATGAGATCAGGATTCTCATCTCAAATGAATTCCTTTGGAAACGAAACAGGACGGCAAATGTTGAGACATCAGTCTCTGTCTGCTGCACAACAACAAGTGAATGGGTTTCACCATGATCACAGAAACTTATCTCCTTCGCTTGCCACCGATCCTTACGGATATAGTTCAAGGCTAATGGATCATCAGACACAGGGAAGTAGCGTATCTGTCTTGTCACAGCTCCAAAGACAACAACAACAACCATCTGCAAATTCAAACTTGTCGAATGGTCACTGGGATAAGTGGAATCAAGGCCAAAGTGTGAACTCTCTGAGCATGCCTGAGCTTCTTAGGAATGAACGGATGGGATTTAATGGGAGCCTATACAACAACGGCTATGAAGAACCCAAATTCCGGATACCAAGCCCTGGAGATGTTTATAATAGGACATATGGGATGTGATTGTGGCATGAAGAGAAGTTTCTCTGCTTTGTTGGATTTGTTCTGGTTGTGCTGGAAGAATCATGCACCAAAACTGCTACCGCTGCTGCGCATATATAATCAATTGTCAGAGAAAGATGCAGGGCTCCGACATAGATTTCCCAACTGCGATTTTGAACTTCAAAGGTATAGAATATTTGTTATAGAAAGTGTGGTTTTGACTAATACATAGGATCTGACTGTAAATATGTGAATACTAAAGATGACTTCTCTTATGTAGAAGCGAAGATGTTGAAGTCTGGGGTGCCTTGTATTTGATTTGATTTCTGCAGATTGGTTTGGTGGGGATTATGACAAAATGTGGATGCATGTAAAGTTCCAAAGGATAACAGAGTTCTAAGTTTTGCCCCACTCTGATGTTGTTTCTTATTCAAAATTGTAAATACATTTAGTTCCGAAATACAGTATAGGTTTTTTCATTATGTTATTCATCGGATTGTTTACACAATAAACCCCCCAAATGTTGTTTATAACCCAAACTCAATAATGCTAATGACCATGGGCTGAATGGGTTATATATATATAATATGAATAAACTTTTGTAAAAACATATTATGTATTGTTAAAAATTCATTGTACAATACGCTAAAACACATTAACTTACAACTTAATTCCGTTGAATAATTTCACAAACGGATTGTAATGAACCCATTTTGACCTATCTGTGTGGACATGGCCCAATGGGCAGCGGACGGCCCAATTGTTAACTCTCTGTAATTTAACAAAACAGCAACGTGGAGAAAAGCAAGGGTTAAAAAGGCCATCTCCCAAAATTCACAGCCATCCGTTTGGCTCTCTCTCTCTCGCTCGCTCGCAATCTCCAGTTTTCGTTCGAGCTTCCCTCTCCTCGTCTCAATCTTCATCTGCAAATCTCGATCGAGCTTTCATTCGTATGTTCCCTTTCGCCTCTCTCTGAATTTCTTCTCTTGGAGTTTGAACCTGCTGAATCTCAAAACCCTAATTCTGTTTCTGTCTTCTTTTTGTTTTTGTTCCTGGGGTTTTTGTGGGATCCTAAATTGAATTTCGCACATTCTCTTTTCTGTGATTATTTTAGCCTTTAAGAGCTCAAGTATCTTTACTTTCTTAACTCTTATGATTAATGTATCTCATAATCTTTCTGTAGACCACCATGAGTGACCATGGAGAGAAGACTTGTCCACTGTGTGCTGAGAAGATGGATCTTACTGATCAGCAATTGAAGCCTTGCCAATGTGGCTATCAGGTTTTGGCATCTGCCTTCCTTTTCCGTATTTTGCAATTTACATGTTACTGCTTACTCGTATAACCATAGGGAGGACTGTTAAAGATATACACTTTTCTTGGTTTAGCCTAAACTTTCTGCTGCAAAGGATAAAGAATAGGATATATGTGATAATAAATGACTCAGTGGAACCATGTAGACATCTTTTACTGGCCTTATTGACCATTGTCCCTGTTCTGTTATTTGTGCTTGTGATTCAGATATGTGTTTGGTGTTGGCATCACATAGTGGACATGGCAGAGAAAGATCAAATAGAAGGGCGTTGTCCAGCTTGTCGCACTCCATATGACAAAGAAAAGATTGTTGGGATGACTGTTGATTTTGACAGGTTTGTAATTTGATGCTTTATACGCAATCTTTTTCCACTTTCTTTTGCTGATGGATTTTGTCTACAATTACCTGCACACAGTCTGGCCTCTGAAGGCAACATTGAGCGCAAGAAGGTTCAAAAGTCAAAATCAAAACCTTCTGAAGGGCAAAGGGAACTCACCAGTGTGCGAGTCATTCGAAGGAATCTTGTTTACGTTGTCGGGTTGCCCATTAATCTAGCAGATGAAGATGTATGAGAACTCTCATCCCAACCGTTTTAATCATTTCTTTGTGGGTTGCTCTCTGACTAGTTCTCCATTTTTCTTACAGCTACTCTATCACAAAGAATATTTCGGTCAGTATGGAAAAGTTATGAAGGTTTCAATGTCCAGATTAGCATCTGGTGTCATCCAACATTCCCAAACAGTACATGCAGTGTGTGCGTTTCTGTCAACCAAATTTTCCTCTTGTCATGAATTCCTTTGACTTTGCTTGCGTTATTGTTTTCGTCTGATGGTAAACTTTATCATCTCAGATATATTACTTATGCAAAAGAGGAAGAGGCTGTTCGCTGCATTCAGGCTGTTCATGGGTTTACCTTGGATGGTAAAGCACTGAAGTAAGTTCTTCCTCTTTTCCTTTTTGTTTAAACGGGAGTGAAAGAAAACATCATTATTTTAACGGTCATATGTGCATTCTACATATATTGTAGGGCTTGTTTTGGGACAGCTAGGTATTGTCATACATGGCTGAGAAACGTGGTACGTCTTCTATGAATACTTTATTCTGCTTTTTGCTAGTTATTCTTTTGGTTACCTTCTTTCAGATGATAGTTGAAATTGATTTTTTTTGGGGTGATGAGTTTCATGTTTTTGTTTCCAGACATGCGTCAACCCTTATTGTCTCTATTTGCATGAGGCTGGCTCTCAAGAGGATACTTTCACAAAAGATGAGCTCATATCTGCCTATACAAGGTATTTTTATCATCTTCAATTCTGTCTTTCTTAGACATGTAGAGTTAATTCTTGGATGACTGTTAATTCTTATATTAATTTTGAATGAGTAGAGTTCAGCAAATCACTGGAACATCAAATGTTCTGCAGCACCGTTCAGGGAGCATGCTACCGCCACCACTGGATGCTTATTGTAGTGACAATTCTACTACAAAACCAATCGTAAAAGTTCCTTCAACGGTAAGTTGAGTTAAATCTCAGCACTCAGCTTAAGAATTCCTTTCAGTTTGCTGTGCTTAATAATTTCATATCGTAAATTTATTTTACATGAGCAGAATGCAGCAAGTGTTCCCTCCACCGCTCTTCCTGCTGCATCGTCATGGTAAGCTCACTGCTGCTTTATATGCGAATTCTTTTGACTACTCGATCTAATAAATGGACTTCTGTTGCAGGGGGACACCTATTTGCAAACCAGCAGTCTTTAGCGATCTTCAGTTACCTCAAATGGATCTTCTGATATACAAAGATCAACATCAGTAAATGGAACCTTGCCCTTCGCTGCTGTTGTTGCAAACGCAGCTCATGGGCCTGTATCCTCAAGTGACATTCTTAAAAGACCGTCTCTCAAAGATGAAAGCCAAACTGTTGCTGACAAAAGTAAACCTAATGTGTTGAAGCCTTTGCAGCATATGTTGTGATTGATTCTGCTGGGTCCAAGAGAACTATCTCACCTGATAGGGATCCTCCTCGCAATCCATTATCCAGTTCAAGTGACTCTTCCTACGATAGCAGAGCCACTGACCAGCCTTCAGCTACTATGAACTCGTTTCACGATCCAAATGAAACTGTAAGTAACTTGTCTGTTGGTGTTTCGCGCATGGGGATAACTACGAATTCTGTGGATGAACGTCCTGATATTCCAAATAGAGTTTGGCAGTCAGTGTGATCAAGGTTCTATTAGACAACCTGGTCCTGAAGTATCAAAGTTGCCACATTTAGAGCAGTGTAGGATGGATAGCTCTGTAAGACTGATAAGAAAGCTGTCCCATCAGAAAATGGGCTCCCCTGCACAAGGCCTGAGTGGGATTGGAGATCAGATTTGCAATCCCAGACGCGAGTTAACTCAAAACTGGAAGTGGAGAATGTATCATCATTTGATAGCCAACGGAAACACCCTGAAGAAGATATCATTCGCTCGCGGTTTCTGTCTAATTCGTCAAGTTCCATGTTAGATTCAAATAATATGGCTTCTCGTTCTCCCCTGCCTTTTGAAATCTCAGGTCTGAACGATTCACATTCGAGGTTTGCTTTGGACAGAGGCAGCGATAGATTGCATGTTCCTAATGGATTTGGTGAGAAAACCATGTCCAATGTGGAGCACTCTCTGTTTGCTAATGAAGGCAGGAACAAAGTAAGCAATGCGAGGATGCTATAATCTCAAACATTTTGTCACTCGACTTTGATCCATGGGATGAAACCTTGACTTTCCCCCAATTTAGAGTTTCTTGGTGAAGTTGATCAGCGATCTTCTACGCTTAAACCTTCCAACCTCCTGAAGCAACATAACAGCCAGTCCAGATTTTCTTTTGCTCGGTATGAAGAATCTAGTAATCAAACATTTGGCAGTGAGAACCATCGCCTTTGTGGGCAGTTGCCGAGAGGTAAGCCTATTCAGGAGTCTGTAGCGAGCCGAGATATCTATCAGGATAATCTTGGGAGTCTTAATGGATTTGCTTCAAACTACTCTGGTGGATTGGAAAACTATGCTGCTAGTCCTAGTACAAGAATCCTGGTTTGCAGTTTCACGACCCCAAGTTTCTGCTCCTCCAGGATTTTCTGCTCCCAGTAGGTTACCTCCTCCTGGCTTCTCATCACATGAGAGAGTGGGCCAATCTCAGATACTGCATCAGGTACTTCTTTTCTTCTATTTAGGGTAGCTTAGAGTGTGGCTGATTCTCCGGACTAAAACTATTGTGCACTTGTTGTATCGTAGGAAGTCGTTTTCCTGACTCTACCTCCTTGTTGAGGAATGCTTATCAAGTACAGCCTCCAGTTGGTAATCCGAATGGTGCAAATGATATTGAGTTTGTGGATCCTGCAATTTTAGCTGTGGGAAGAGGGATGGTGAATGCAGACTTGGATATGAGATCAGGATTCTCATCTCAAATGAATTCCTTTGGAAACGAAACAGGACGGCAAATGTTGAGACAGCAGTCTCTGTCTGCTGCACAACAACAAGTGAATGGGTTTCACCATGATCACAGAAACTTATCTCCTTCGCTTGCCACCGATCCTTACCGATATAGTTCAAGGCCAGTGCATCACCAGACACAGGGAAGTAGCGTATCTGCCTTGTCACAGCTCCAAAGACAACAACAACAACAACCATCTGCAAATTCAAACTTGTCTAATGGTCACTGGGATAAGTGGAATCAAGGGCAAAGTGTGAACTCTCTGGGCATGACTGAGCTTCTTAGGAATGAACGGCTGGCATTTAATGGGAGCCTATACAACAACGGCTGTGAAGAACCCAAATTCCGGGTTCCAAGCCCCGGAAAATGGGACCCTTTACCTTTTACCTTTTTCTCATAGTTTTAGTTTTAGACCTGTCCTTAATCCTTAATTGTTCCATGTAAAAAAGATAGATGAAATTTTTGGTCTCTTTTGCGTATGGTCAACACATTTCAGCTACTTACAAAATGTCTTTAATTCTACATTCTACTGATGAACATTTGGTTCGAGTTGAAAAGTCTTCAAAAAAAAAAAATGTTTGGAGCAAAGAAAAGATTTGAGTATTCACTTAAGATAAATAAACAAATAATCTACTAGCTGCTGTAGATTATTTGTTTATTTATAAAAGGAAATATCGCTCGAGTTTCCTTTTTCAGCCAATTTTCCTTTTTTTCCGTTAAAGGAAAAGGAAAAGGAAAGTAACGTCATCTACAAGCTACGACTTTCCCTATATAGTATGTCCACGTCATCTAATTAACTCGTATTGCTCAAACATGGAATGTAACAAGGAAGAAGCTAGAAGAGCATTGGCTATCGCAGATAGGAAACTATCAGAGAACGATTACAATGGTGCGCAAAAATTCGCTAGCAAGGCTCAGAAAATGTATCCGAAGCTCGACGGTCTGAAACAAGTCTTGGCGATAACACATGTTTACATCTGTGGATCAAACGGAGGAGACGAGTCTGATTGGTATGGGATCCTAGGCGTGGATCCATTAGCTGTTGAAGAAACGTTGAAGAGACAGTACAAGAGGCTAGCTCTTTTGCTTCATCCAGACAAGAACAGGTTTCATGGCGCGGAAGGTGCATTTAAGATGGTTTCAGATGCTTGGCGTCTATTATCCGACAAAGACAAGAGAAGCGAGTACGATCGAAAAAGGAGACGGGATGAAATTCCACAGGAAAAGAGCAGAAGGCCAAAAAACAAGCCCGCTTCTTCTGATGGCGCAAATCAAGAAGCACAAGAAAAGATTAAAGAATGGCTTGAAAAGGCACGAAAAGATACTGCTGCAGCTTTTGCGTCTGCAAGGCCACAAAACGAGCCACCTTCTTCTTCTCCAACTTCATCATCTCATAAAAGGAGACGGGATGAATCTTCTCGAAAAAGGAGACGGGATGAAATTCCACAGAAAAGGAGCAAAAGGCCAAAAAACGAGCCCGCTTCTTCTGATGGCGCAAATCAAGAAGCACGAGAAAGATTTATAGAATGGTTTGAAAAGGCACGAGAAGATGTTGCTGCAGGTGTTGCTGCTGCTAAGATAAACAGCCAACATTATTATTAAATTTAAATAAGAGATGATGTTTTTGTAAATTTTTTTGTCTTTGTTATATGGTTGTAAATTTTGAGAGTAAAAACGATCTCGCAATTGTTATCCCCGTCAAGTAATCAAGAGTCTTTTGATAAGAAACGGTTTTCTAGGCTTTTTTATCTAGTCATATATAGTTTGATCGTCGAAAGATCTTTCTTTGTGTTCTTGTCAATGTTGTCGGTCATAATGAGTTTTCTTCTGTCGAAAGAACACATCACTTAAAAACAATACTGAAACATTCATAAGAAATTTAACTGGATTTAACGAAACTCAACAAGTAATAAAACCAAGTGATGAATATTAGTATAAATTGTAGATTCTTAGTACAAATAAGCTAATAAAATAAAAATTCAAATTTACAGGATCAATCTCAACAGGCTTAACACGACACCTATTACAAAGGAACCACGAAAAAGCCAACGAGCAATCCAATGTGGGTCTTGGGTGCGGCATCGAGGATTATGTTGCACGGATCCTTCTCCACACATGTAGCAAAATGTATTTCCACACCTAAAATGTTACCGGAGAAAGCATTAAATTGCATCGTATGATATGCAACATGTTTATATATCCCAAAAACATAATCAAATTCGACAAAAATGTATAAAAGAAAGACAATATATTGCTTCGTTCATAAGGTCTAAGATAATAAGATACCTGCATCTCATGAAGAAACATCCCTCAATACGTTCAACCATGTAATGGCATTTTCCGCATTGACGCCACCCTTTACGTTTTGCCAAGGATCTAAGCTTTGCATCATCTTCATCATCATCATCTTGAGGATTAGGATGCAGTTTCTTGTAAGCTTTGCACGATAGTGAGCTATGCCATGGAACTTTGCACCGGAGGCAAAAGGAGCGAAAGCATTTGAAGCACCTCCTAAGTCCAGACTCATCATCAACAGATGAACCAAGCTCTTTTTTGGACATTAAGTAAGAGCAACTTTGGTCCGGACAATAAATTCTCTCGTCCAAAGGAGTTGAGTTCTCTTTAATCCTCTGCCTCCACATCAAACTCAGCTTGCGAGTCAAAAGCATGCCGCATCTATCAATAGACAGCTGAGACTTGCAGCGATGCTCAAGACAATTAGGTATCGTTCCATCAAGCAGATTCACCGCTATATTCCGTTCCACACAGTTTAAGCAAAACCGATGACCGCATTTATCGACAGAAAACATGAGCTCAGAATCAATGTTGTCTTCAGTGCAGATAACACAAGACTCTTTCTTAGAGTCCTTGGCCTCGGCGTCCATGTTGTAGGAGCTTTCTTTGGTCTATACGAGAGAGTAAGTCACATTTCTATATGTTTTGACTTATTAATAAGCAGAGTTTAAGAACTAATCTCGGCGTTCTAGCTAGTTTTTCTCTGCTTCTCACGAATTTCATGTAGACCTCTTTTTCTTATAAAAGTAATCAACTGAGAGTATACAAAAACTTACAGCGACGTTTGTTTGATCTCTGAATTTACAAATGGAAGAAGTCACATTTTGTAGCAGTCCCTTAATCTTAAACAACATATTATCTCTCTGATGAGAAATTGCAACCCCTAATCTTATTTTAACGGGCGCCTTTTCGCTCTCCGCCGCCATCTCCTCCGAAAGTAAAAGAAATCTCGATAAAATTCTCCTTCACGAGTATGCATTTTATGCTTCAAATCATTTACGATATATGAAATTTTTTAAACCTTTAGAAGCTAACTTGTAAACCCTAACAACTAAATCCTAAGAAACCGAAACCCTTAAGAAAAAATGTAAACCCCTTTAACCTTTTTCTCAGAGTTGTAAAAATATGTAACCCTAGGGACTCAACCTTTAACCCGTTTACCTATTTCAAATAGTTTTGTTTTAGACATTTTCTTAATTGTCCAATGTAAAATGAATAATCTATTTTTTTGCCATAGGGGCAAAAGGGACCAAAGAAATGTTAACTATTGGTTCAATAAGTTAGACCAGGGCTAAGATTTATATTGACCGACGCTGATTAAAATGTTCATACGATTGACTTGTGTATTACTCCACCAATCTATAAAAAATTAAATAGAAGAAGCAATATACAGTATACTGTTCTTTCCCCTAATGCAAAATTGTATTGTAAAATGTAAACATAGACAAAGTGTAAAAGAAGAGAACTTTCTGGATCTACAAATAGAACATGGAAAAAAAGTAAAAAACAAAAAGAAAGATGAAATCTTTAATCTCTTTAGCGAATGGTCAACAAACTTCAGCTACTTACAAAAGGTCCTTTTTTCCACTAATGAACATTTGGTTTGTGTTGTCAAGTCTTCAAGAGAAAAATGGAGCAAAGAAAAGGTTTGAGGAGTATTCACTTAAGAAAAGAAAGTTGAAGAAGAGAAGAAAGGAGAGAATATATCATAAAGCAGCTTCATTCTTCGTTTCCTGGATTCAATTCTCATCATCGCTTCCATTTCGTGGTCCACGGAGCTTATACCTGCATCAAAAGAAGCCATTATTCCTCAAGAGCAAAGATCATCTTGCTGCAAAATCAAAATCAAAATGGATCATCACCTGTTGATGAGAAAATGTCCTTGATTGTACATGAGTCTCCTATCGTTGCTCTCCTGCCAACGAAAAAAAAAAAAGCATAATGAGAAAAACACCAATTCTCAAACCAACTCATGGTGATGAAAACTGAGTCTTGAATATATACATAGCGTAAGCCGAGACGTGAGCCACAAGCGACGCAGGAAATCTCACGCATTGAATCGTTAATGTTTCCATCTATAGCGATTGCCACTCTATTTCCAACCACCACATTGTAGCTGCCACCACCAAAAGGGTTTTTACTTTTTCACTTTCAGTAAAAAGGAATGTTGTCATAAAGTAAAGATTGATTTTTTTTTTACCATTCCATGACGTAATACAGTTTCCCAAAGCTGGCCGGAAAGTCAGCCGACGGCAGTGACTGCAAAACACACCCATTTACACAACAAAATCAGATCAATTTCAAGAATTGTACGTAAAATCTCTAATCAGATTTCAACTAAGTATGCAATCAAATGTTCATCTTCCGGAGAGTTAAGAGGAAATCGGAGAAAAACAATAAACCGAGTTTGAGGAAGAAGCAGAAACCAACCCTTTTAGCTGGATCGGCGTAAGTGATTTTGACTTGGCAACGCTTGCATTTGTAGACTGGTCCATCGATGTTTGTCACGAATAATCTTCCCATCTCGATCAAAATTCCACCACCTGGAGATTCCCAAATCCAGATCTCAGATTCAGCACAAGATTAAGAATGGAGTCGATATACAGTCTAAAATAGAAGAAATCTCTGACAAATTCAACAATCGAAGAGAGAATTGATATCCAACGCATCGATTCCAGAAACCAGAACACGATTATCAAGAAATTACCCAGAAATTATGCATCAAATTGAACAGGGATATGGATGAACATACAGAAACCCACCAAATCGCAGATTCAAAGAAGAAGAAACTTCGATAAATGTCAAGACGGGATGATTTACTACTACTTGACTACTTGCAAAGAGGCGCGAAAGGTAGAAAATGAATGCAGCGGAAAGAAAATTTCAGGATTCCGAGAAAATCGAGAAGGAAAAGAAAGTAATAAGAAGATGCTTCGATCTTACCCAGAGCAGAGGAAGAAGAAGAAGAAAGAAATGGCAGAGAGCAGAGGAAGCGTTTCAAATTTTCCCACGATTTATCGTATAAATACTGCAATATTAAACACGGGCCATGATACATGGCCCAAGGCCCACAAAATTTTCACACGATTTTTCTGTTACTAACTTTACCAGTTTAGTTCGTTACACGGTTTGTTTTCGGTTACTAACAGATTCAGTCTACGCTTATAAATTTTGTCAAATTTTTATAAAAAAAAACTCGTCAATCTTGGGATTATTGAAGGAGTAAAACGTAAACTCGTTAACTCTTAATTCGAAGAAAATTTATCTCTTGGAAGTTGGAACAAACATGATTTAGGTGTTTCTAACTTTCTATCAATATATAAACAGAGAATATAATTAGGGATTTATCTACTAGGTTAGATTACTGCAAGCAATTGTTGTCCTTTGTTACTCTTTTCTTCTAGAAAAATCTACCGTGATAGGGCTCTCTATCGTTTTCTTTATATATCTTGGAGAATTTATACTTCCACCACAATAATATCGAACCAATTTAGTAGAGTCATCTTAATTTCGGTAAAAACAAACTGATCATGGCACGATTAAAGGCAATGTTATGTCATTCCGTTTGAATCAAATTTGGATCCTTATACAAAAATCAATCAATGACAAACTTCTTTAACAAGATTTCAGTAGTAATCAACGAGAGAACAACCTAAACACTTATAATTTGATCATCTTGTAGCTATAGAACATGCCTCCAAGATGTTTGCAATGCTACTTCCGTGAGACCTACGCAAGAGATGGAGAAAAGGCATCAGCTTCTGCACCAAATCCCAAAACAGATCGATCCTATTCGTCTGCGTGACTCTCAGTGCCTTGACACCACGAAACTCCCAAACTCATTCCTCGCCAGCCTCATCAACCTGTCTCCCGTCGCACTCCAAAAGCTCCCCAACCACAACTCCCATCGACCCTCCGCCTCCAGAAGCTTCTCAACGATGTAGCTCCCATACTTCTTAAACGACAGCTCAAAGCAATGGCCTCGGAGATTAACTCCAACGTTATGCGTGCAACGCAAGTCATACAGTTTAAGTACGTGTTGGACCACAAAGTTCCCTGAAGCATCGTTGCTTAGGCAGAGAGCGTTGTGCGACCACGTCAGCAGCATATTTCTGTAGAAAGGATCGTCCGCGTCGGTTATGATCTCGTTGAGCGCGATGCAGCCGTGTTGATCACGACGCTATGTCGAGCGCGTGGTGGAGATGTGCTCGTACATTGCGTATTTCTTCGTCTGGTCGAACACGGCCATGGCTCGTCTCGCCACGTAGGACGCGTACTTGTCGGTCATGACGTGGAGGAAACGGCGCAAGATGCGGCGTGGAAGAGCGCGTCCACGTCGTCTGATATCCCGAGGAGCTTCTGCACGCGTCTCGACCCGTGCTTGTTTCTGACAACCTCCGTGAAGTAATCGGAGTCTGACGTCAGCAAGAGGCCATCGTGTGAAGCTGTCTTCGGTCTAGCTTCGAGATCATGTCTTTGAAGAGGGCCACACCTTCGCCGCTAGTCATTAGGTTGAAAGAGGGTTTAAGCGCGTGTCGGAGGCGCGTGGGTAGAAGCCCGGAGGAGGAATGGAAGCCGGAGATTCCTCTAGAGAAACGGATATGTGGTAAAGCATCGGACATGGTCGACATCGAAAAGGTATTATCAGCGATCGACATTGTATTGAGAGAATTATTAGTTTGTTAGAGAGTGGGATTATTAATTAATCTCTGTGGTTTTGGAGAAGTGTGTGAGAGATTTTTGTGTTGATTGTTGGATCTCTGGGGGTCTATTTATATTGGTTGATTTATCTGTGTCTATTAGGAAAAGGAAATATATCGCTCAAGTTCCTTTTTCCATTTTTTTGTTTACTATACCGTTTCCTATTCATGTTTTACTTTTTACTTTTAACATGAAATATATTTCACCAGTAAATACCACATATTTCCATTTTCCCAGATACCACATGGAACCTTGTGTTTCCTTTTTTCAGTTATTGTTTCTTAACACAACGGAAATTCCTTAACCAAACTAACATCGGAGATGGATTAGATTTTGAATTAAGTTTTTATTAGTACATTTTTTTAATAAAGTCGTAATTTAGCAACCAGATATTGCAAGAGACAAAACAATCGTATATTTTTTTCTACAATAGTGACACTCATGAAAAAAACAAAAAAAAAATACAATAGTAGTAACTTTGATGATGCATATTCATGGTAGAATTTTCTTTCTGTTATACAAGGGCATAGTAAAAAAAAAAGGAAAGAGAAAATCTTGCTTGACAGAGATGTTGCTTGTAATGTATATCCTCGTAGTTAAAGATCCATCTCTTATGGTCTTCCAAGAGCTTCATGCAGGTCCTTCAAATCAGCAAACCCCTTTGGTATAATAGTTGGAAGATATGTGTACAGGTTCTTGTATGCGTTTCTTATACTACTTCTTTCAACTCCAGTGGCTTTTAAGACATCTGCAACATCATCAAATGTACAGAAGTTAGAGAAAAGAGAAGTGCTAATCAGATTTATACTGCTAATTAGAAAGAGAGATTTAATTGCCACCTTTAAGCAGCTTCTTCTTATTATCAGAAATTCGAGCAATGACATATACGATTACAGCTGCAACTGCTCTCGGAGTGCCAAAACTGTATTCAAACAAGTAAGACATAATAAGGATCATATATTTGCTTACTCAGATCAAGAAACTGCCCAAATCATGAAGGTACCTCTTAATTATTTCAGAACTTTTAGCAGCTTCTTGAGCAGCTTTAACTGCTTTGCCATCCATTCCAAGGTTGGCGCAAAACCGGTTCTGTAGATGAACATAACGTCAGTAAATGAGAGCTCTTTGATTAACTAACCACGAGCTCAATACAAGCAAAAGCTCAAAACTACTCACAATAAAGTCAGCAGCTTTGACTTCCATCAACCATTTTTTGTCCATCTTTGTTGCCTCAGCTATCACCCCAATTGCCTTGGAAATATCATACTCATACATTGTGGCCTCGGTGACAGCAGAGCATATTTCTACAAGAAAAAACAAGGTTTTGAAGAGGCTGATTCAACTACAAAAACAAAAGATAGATCAAGAAAGGAACCAGAATCTTTCAAGGGTTTCAACTATATATACATACCCTTCGTATGCCGAGTCATGTCCTCTTGTCGACATGCAATGTAGATACAAGCAGCATTAAAGGCAACTCGATCCTTTTCTGTGCATATCTTCTCCACTTTCTTGAATATCTCTTTAGCCTTATTCTACACATCAAGAAACACACTCATTCAAACTTATCTGTATTATAACTAACTATTCATCCAGAGTTGTTTATAGACGGAAGTCAAGAAAAAAACATACGTTGACTTTCGCAGGAAGACATAACCTGTAAAACGGATGAAGCGAAATTGTAACTTATCTGTAAAAACGAAACGACATTTCCTCTAAGAAAATTAAGAAAGAAGATGTAACGCTACCTAAAGGACATAGCCGCGATGGAGACGGGATCAGAGTCAAGATTGATCATCATGGCGTCTAAGGCACGTTTCTCCGAATATTCGAGATCGGAGCTATTCTTCTTCGTCACGGTGGTGTTGGCGACGGAGACGGGTGCTGAGCCACCACCTTGCTGCGAATTTCCGAGCGTAAGGGACAAGAAATCACCGGAGGTACCATTACTCTGCTCGGTGGTGACATTGGAGAGACCAGAATCACCGATATCAGAATCAAGACCACACTCGGAGCAATGCGTCTTCCTCGCCTCGTGATCAATCACAACCCGATCCTTACTTTTACAACCCTTACAACATTCACCCAAGTTCCACATCTTCGAAACCCTAGATTTTACGATTACTCTGCGTTCTTCTTCTTCTTCAAACGGAATCAATCGAAAAAAGAGAAAGGAAAAAAAAAAATGGAGGGAATTGTAACAGAATAAACGGTTTCTTCCCGTTTATATTTTGATCGGACGGCGCACAATCTTTTTCTAGATGTAATTATTTGAGCGCTAATTGGATTAGGGAACTTTGTGCCGTTTTAATTAGTATTCCCTTAAAATTATGATAATGATATAATTTATCATTTACCATACATGAACTTCATGCCGTTTTTAAGGGAGTTGTTGCTACGGATAAAAAAATTACATACAAATGATAATAATGTGTCACAAAATTGCGAAAGATCTTAGTTTTCTAACTTTACCAAAAAAAAAAAATTTTGCAGATGATAATTGTGTCACAAAATTGCGAAAGATCTTAGTTTTCTAACTTTTGCAGTTTTCTAAGTTAAAGCAGATAAGCTGCAAAATTGCAGCAATTTTTGTGTGTTTTAAACTTAGTTATAGAATCGTTGTTTCTGGAGTTGGTTTGATGATTGAATAAAAAAAACATTAAAGTTGAAACATGGTCAGAAAACATAACAATATTATTAAATGTCCATGTCAAAGATACAGCTTAAGTTTGCTACTTCAACTTGCATAACAATAGTGATTTTAGTTTTGAGAGAGGAAGAGCAACTTAATATCAACGAAACATGTATAACATGACAACTACTAGAAGAGCCAAACACAGAACACAAAGAAAATCCGGGACTTCGTTATCGAAACGATAACTGATGCACTTTCCATGGGACCTGGAGTTCCACTGGGCTCCACACGTGTAGCAAAACTCATATCCACACCTACAAGGTCACCCGATGAATCATGAAATTGTATGATTTGCAACATGTTTATATATGCCAAAAAAATAATCAAAGACAAGAAGACAAAAAAGATATAAAATCTCTTGATGACTTATAATTAAATTCTTTGAGAGAGAGAGAGAGAGAGAGATGCCTGCAACTCATGTGGTTGCATCCGTAAGAAAGTTCAACCATGTGTTGGCACTTGCTGCATTGACGCCAACCCTTACGATTTGCCAGAGATTGCAGCTTTGCATCATCATCTTGAAGAATAGAATGCAACTTCTTGTAGTCGGTGCAAGATAGCTTACTATGCCATGGAACTTTGCAGTAGATGCAGAAGGAGGCACTGCATTTGAAGCATCTCCTAAACGCACATCCAGAAAAAGACAAAAGCTCGGTTTTGGACATCATGTAAGAGCATCTTGGGTTTGGACAGTAAACTCTCTCATCCGAAGGAATTGAGTCCTCTCTAATCCTCTGTGCCCACATCAAACTTAACTTTTGAGTCAAAAAATTGCAACATCTATCAATAGAGAGCTGAGACTCGCACCGATGCTGAAGACAGTCCGGTATCTTTCCATCAAGCAGCTTCACCTCTATATGTTGTTTTACACAATTTAAGCAAAACCAATGGCCGCATTTATCGATAGAAAACATGAGATGAGGATCAATGTCGTCGTCTAAACAGATAACGCAAGACCCATTCTTAGCTGCCTTGACGTCCAGGGTAGTGATACTGATGTAGTCATCGTGTAGCAGTAACCCTAATCCTGCTTTTGATTTCCTCATCGCCGCCATCTCCTCGTTTGGCAAAAATAGCTCAGAGAAAATTTTCCCTTCAATGAGAAATAAAATGGAGTTGTTACTTAATCATGGATCTTAACAGAATAACCACAATCCAAGTAACTCTAATTATTGGATCTCTTACATGTAAATCATATTTAAAAAGTTTTCAAAGTTTTGTATTATTCAATTAAAATTTGAAGTATAGTACTCCCTTAGGGCATCTCCAATGTATTGCCTCATATTTAACTTCAAAATGAAGAAATCTCAAAATGAAGTTGGGTTTTGCTCCAATGTATTACCTCATTTTTTACTTCAAAAAAATATTCTAAGTATATTCTTTTTGAAAAACTTTTATTAATTACTAAATTTGCATTGTATATTTATATATATTACAAATTGCCCCATAATTTTTTTTCTTCAAAACTTTCACAATTTCATTTTATGTTATCTCTAATAAAAGTGTTTTTCCTTTCTTTTTAAAAATTTATTATTAGCTTAAATAATTAAATTTCCTATTATATATGTGTTATTTATATTTTAGAGTAAAAATAAATATCAAAATAATTAATTATATATTTAAACTGAAATAATTTAAAATTTGAAGGACTCATATATAAATTAAAAACTTTAACTCCAAAATGGAAATGGAAATGGGATCATCTCCATTTTGGGAAAAAATATGGCATTTTGCCATTTTGAGATTGGAAATGGAGTTGGATTGGTGCAAAATTAACTCCAAAATGGCAATAAAGATTAAATATGGGGTTGGGTTGGAGATGCTCTTAAAATCCATCTAATATTATTATTCAGAACTGAATAACACATGAATTTCCAACATATTTTCATGATTAAATTATTTTAAAAAAATATCAATTTATTCTGTTGAGATTTTAGAATCCACACACTTAAATTCTTTTTAAAAAAACATATCAAATATTTAAAAAATCTAGAAAATTAACCTTAAATCTAGGATTTAAATATATTTTTATTATAAAAGTATAAATACGAAAACGAAAATAATAAATATATAACCCTAAATCAAAGCGAAATATAAAAACCAATTCATCAAAAAAAGAATTTTAACATCTATTTCCATATCAAAGTTGAAATACAAATATAGAAAGACTTAATGTTTCACAAAGAATGGATTCATATTTCATAGATTTTGAGTGTCGCCATAATAATATTTGTCAATAGAATTGTAGTTTTTTTTTCTTTT